GGAGTATGCCACACTGGAAGTCAATGGGGTCAGAAATGGAGCTGCAGACTCTGGTAATCAGCTGATGTCAAATGAGGAAGTTGCTTATCCAATCTAGAAAAGAGTAAACGATGCCATAGTATCGAAGGTTGCGAAGGAGAATGCGGTGGTCCAGACGGTCGAACGCATTGGAGAAATCCAGGTAGATGACATCGACTCCTACTGTGGCATCAACTGACGCTGTCCAGCTTGCTCTGTCTAGAAGTAGGTTTGTAGTGCAAGACCGGTTTCGTCGGAATCCGTGCTGCTGGGACACTATGATGTTGTTGCTCTCAAGGTATTCCATTAGCGTCTCTGCGATTATACCTCCCATTATTCTGGATAACACTGGGAGGAGAGTGATCGGACGGTAGTTCGAGGGCTCCTTACCATTCCCACTCTTGTAACTAGAAGGGACTATTCCTTGTTTTCACATTGTGGGAACCTGTATTTCATCAGGACATCATTGAAAGAACTGCGCCAATGGTTTGGCAATGTTCAACGCGGCTGTCTTCAATGCCTTCGGTTTGCGGTCGTCCAGGTCAAGTGAGCTGTGCACCCACAATGTAATCAGCCTTTTCATCACATTGGTTGTCGTGCACGATACGTGGTTTAACCCTGATTGCAATGGAAGCTGTGGCAAAAGCGGGTGAAATGAGGATTCACTCTGGAAAGTGTGGATGAAGTGTTGGCGAAGCATGTTGGCCGCCACTTGTGTATTTTGTGCCAGACCATCTATTGCACGTAAAAGCGGGATCCCGCAATACACACTGTGTAAACGGTAAACGCAAATGCGCAAGATGGATGACGCGAGTTAACTGGATTCCCACCAACTATTTGTTTACCCACCTTATGCCCCATGGTTACTTGCCCTCCCGACCTAAGTGTTATCTAATCCACAAGATGAATAACATGATCTAATCTATACACACCCAATTTATGTGCCATGGTTACATGGTTACCGACATAACCATTATGTAATTTGAGGTACTCATGAGTAGGGGAATTTCGGCACGTCTGTACAGCAATTTGGGATTTGTACTAAATTTCGCCGTTAACTTCTGTTGCTGCCGGAGTTTGTCTTCGCGGATCGATTTGACACAGCGCATTCGTTGAACTGTGTAAACATCCCAGGTCAGGTAACTGGGACAGACTTTGGAGGCGCGCTAGGCTGATTCCCTTAAGACCATGCGTTTTCTAGTGCGGATTCTCAGGAAGGATTTCATTTGCTTCAACTGAAAGGCCTTGCGTTCCGACGCATTAGCCACTAGCTCGATGAATTAGCTGATAAACACCGTCCAGACGACATCGAACGGCTGCTGGGCTAGGAAGAATCAATCGGTTTCTTGGATGAGGTCGGACAGTATATCGTAACGGGTGACGATGTAGGTTTCGTTGTTCTCACTAATGTACTCCGCATAGCAGATACAACGAAAGATCAACATCATATGGTCGCTACGGCCAGGTAGTGCATCTATGGTCACGGAACCGACCATTAGTTCCTCGTTGGTGAGCACAAGGTCCAAAACAGATGCCGCGCTATCTGATCTGAATCGTGTGTGAGAGGTGACATGATTGTACAGGGGCACATCGGTGATTAACTTAAAAGTTAGCTTTGATTTGTTCGCTGAGTGATGCAAGGATTTCGATTGGACGAAGGTTGAAGTCCCCTACTAGAAGGACCTGACTGTGTGATCGTATCAAGATGCGTTTCATCGCAACAACTAAGCGGTGATCCATTTCCTAGGTGGACAATGGAGGGCGGTAAACTATTGCTTACACACATCACCACCTGTTAGAGCATACGATACCAAAGAGAATCGACAATTTGCGTTTCTAGATCGTCGGGGGTATCAAAATGCAGGTCAGATCGGTAATATATCGGCACTCCTCCTCCTCTACTAGGTCGATCGTTTCGCATGGATGTCATGCCGAGTAGAGTGATCTCAGTATCGGTGATCTCCCTGTTCAGCCATGTTTCGGTGACTATAAGTATATCCCAAGACTTGGAAACGTGATGATTACGAAGTTCGGTTAGCGTGGTGAGGAGACCTTGTACTTTGGCATACAAGCAGGTGAAGGCATCTGAATTTGGAAGCGTGTTATTTAATGCTGATTTCCGGTGAGGGCCTATACCGGCACTTGTGGGGTCGGCTGCCGGTCGCTTTTTGTAGGACCGCAGACGCAGGCTCTTAAGCCATTCTGGATTGTTGTGTAGTACTCAGTGCCAGCAAGAGGATGACCACACAGTCCTTCTTCAGCTGCCGGTGTGTTTTGACAATATCCCTGTTCTGCGCTGCGTGTTGAAGGTGTACAGGTGAATTGATTGCTTAGTGTTATCTTGTCTACTTATGGCCGAGTGTCCGTCGCGTTTATAGTTATTTCGGTTGGCAGCATTTGACGCTATTTGTGCTACATTTCAATCACATTTTCTACCATCAGTTTGGATTGCAATCTCACTCCCATCACTCGGTGACCACACCCTTTGAACTTAGATGATAGCGGTAACGTTGATATTATTTAGCGATAGTATTTCGAGTGAGATCACTTCCCGAATCAAACACAATTCATCCAAGTTATGCGCTTTGACCTTTGGCTTGTTCAATGTCTAGAGAGCGGAAACACCGTGAGCAAGGAGCGATTTTAGGTTTTTTGTTTATGGAAGTCAACCGGATTTTGCTGCCCGTTCTAGCTTCGCTACAAGGAAGATCTGGAAATATTCAAACAGTGCATGAGGGGGTACGGAGGGCAGTGGCTGACAAGAGAACTGCCTCTGCATCATTACCGGATTGAAGTTTACATGGGGTAACCGCGGTACACCGTGGTGTACGGAGTTCGGGTGACGGACGAGGTGCGTCATACTGACTGGCTTATCTTTAACCCTACTAGTTGACACAGCGAATTCCACCCTTTCTTGTCGTATAATAGCTTATAGTTTATGGAGTTTGCCTCTGATTCAGTCACACTGCAGCATATACCACTCAGAGAATTATGAGATTGTCTCGTGTTTTCCTTTGTGGGGGGTCGTGTGGCTACTTTCTTTGACTGGACAACTGACGGGGTCTTGAGTCCCGTGGCGGTATTGGTAGTATTAACTGAACCTAGGTTGACGGGAGGTGGGAGGTGCTTATGTCAAGTGGGTAGCAACAACGAATGCGTAAATTGTCAATCCTATAACAGCTTTCAATGTGGCGCGTGGCTCTGACGAAGAAGGTGTGGTGAAGCATCTTTATGAGCAATCCCTAGTATCGAGGTGGCTCAAGCTGGATGGTTGCTCTTATCTTCAGCCTAGCTACACTGTTCTGAATTGGAGTCGGATGGTGAGCATCAAATTCGAGGCACTGTTTTGTCTGGTTTCTGTGGGACAGCTATCATGGCGGCTGCTTGCTTTATCATCCTTGTCAATCTGTCACACTTCTGTGCCAACACAGATATATCTCTTTCGAGTGTAATAGCAGTGTACTCAGTTCAGAATCAAAGGGAATCAATTGCATTGTGAAGTTTCTTTTTATCGCTGAGACTAAGACGAGCACACCTAGGAGAAAATATTTTAGGGCAGTTTGTGCGCTAACATTCAGTTCTGAAGCCATACGGCTAACTTTCCGTGAGCAAGCGGTGCGTGCTATTGTGATGCTTAATGTTGCGGATGTCGTTCGTTGAAAGGTCTACACTAGTACGCTGAATACGAACGCTGTCGGCTAGGTTGGTGGTCCGGCTGACACAGGTTAGATTACTGTTCTGAATGTGTACACCCCGAGTCATGTACCCGCGTTGAGGTCGAAGTTACACTATGACATGGGGGCGATATCTCTAGGCCTTCGCTGTCGTGTCGGCAGATTGCGGCTGTCAGTGTTTAAGTCCTACGGTGGTGCAGTTAACTGATCTACGTGGCTTGGTCCATTGATCGTAAAGTCTAGGTGCAAAGTGATGGTTGCTGCGGGAAAGATGAGGATTACTCTGTAGTTGATTCACGCACTATTGGGTTGGAAGTGTCAAAATTTGTTGGAAAGCTGCGGTTACGCTCTATCGAGTGAGACCAAACTTGGAGTACAACGATTGAAATTGTGCAACCTTGGCACGTGGGTATAGGTGAAACACTGTCCGGAGTTTAAAAATCCAGGTAAATATAGGATGGACTGTAGTGTGTAGTGTACTCGAGAAAATTGTATCTCGTGATAGAGCTTGTAAAAATAAGACAAATGGGCATAGACCCAATTGTGTGCGACAAAATACCATTGAGAAACAACGAAAAGATTCCACAACGCACAGCTGCGCGATTAGCACGCTCGTTCGTTCTGGCCTTTATCACAGTATGGACGGTACCGAGTTTCGCCAGGCGACTCTGTGCGGTACTAATTGGAGGGCCACTTTGAAGTACGCATTTTGTGATTGGATTGCGATGCTTAATCCCAATGTAGACTGTGATTGGTATTAAAGTGAATCTTGGTCATCCGAGTGCTGTGAGCGTATCTAATAGAATAGAAGGAAGGTGAGTATTGCCCTCCCGAAAAAATGCACACCACGAGGCGCTTCAACCTTATTTGATCTCCTCAGGAAGGGATAGGAGGCCCCGAAAGTGGGAACATCCGATATCAGTTGGGACCTCTACTCCTAAGCCACCAGGTCACGACGGACAACACTCAGTTTCCTACCGCTTCATTAACTACGATCCCAGGGATCGCATCGACCAAGATTCACTTAAATGGGAAGCACGGTCTACATTGTGATTTTGTGTGGTAATCCAATCACACAGCTTACAATTCAAAATAAATACCCAACTGGCACTGTGTTATTTGGCGTTGAAATGAAGGAACAAAAGGGTCCCCGAAAATGGGGAAAACATTACCACGACTTTGAACTAACAGGACTGCCAATATGGATAAACAGTGGTCTGGTGCTTGTTTTCTATATTTTTATTTGCAGTTAATGTTTTAAACCAATAGGTAGTCGTTGCAAGACATAGAAAAGATGAGAAGCCTCACCTTGACTCCTACAGAATCTTCAGATTCAGTTGAGGTAACTTTATTCAAGATAATTATCGTTCCCTTGTTGTTAATGTATCGTGCAGTTTCTATTTCTACAGGCCAAACGGATTGTTTAGGGTTTGGTTGTGTTTCTGTTGCTCGCACCATGCGGACCACGGAAGTCATCAAGCTGGATCCAGAGCTATCTCCTTTCCATCCTTCCTGGTCTTGAATCTCTACTGATCTGTCATCCGGTTGCGCTTGCATGCTTTTCATTTCCTTCTCCAATTCATTTGCGGTTTTCCAGGAAGATGCTTGTTGAACGTCGTTCTGTAGAAGGACTTAAAAGTTGAAAAAAGCACGTGTGGTGCATGAACTAGTGTGGATTTGCCATCTTTGCCCATTGAACTAGGGGATATTCGGCAGAGATGGTTCATTGGGTTGAGTAGACAAAGAAATTTGTACACTGGCTTAGTTAGCAACTTTAGATAATAGAAGTGATGCGAATGATTGAATAGTTTATTGTGAGAACCAACCTTTGGAGGTCTGAGGTTAAGATGAATAAAAATACGAGCCCATCTTTCGGCATATGTCTAGAGGGCTAGAAGTTGGACTTGCACTACGATTCGCCTTCTTGTATCATCTTTACGTGAAAATCATAAGTAACAAGGGCTCCAAGTTTCGACAGTCGAAAGGAAGGAACAATCTAGCTGATTACAAAACTTGTGTTTTGTGGACCTAAGCTATTGTACATTCACTTACTTGACGCAATAGGTCATTACTGAGTATTCTTTTGGGGAGCTGCTTGGTGTGTGTATTGATTCACCGCTGCTTTACTTAAGTGCCTTGTACCGAATTATTGCACTAATCTCTTTTGTTAATGCGTCTGCTTCAACCTAGAGTACTAGCAATGCTGATTGTATGCGGCTAATTTCACCCTGCAATCACGGCTGCGAGCAGCGAGATTCTAACCTATTTCTATGTTAAAAATGCTATGCAACACATGACGCTATGGTATGATGCTGCTGCGCGGATGGCACTTTTTGTCATGAAATGTGACTCCGGAAGGTAATGATTGACTGCGGTGGTCACACGACGAATAACAGGGTTAAGCACCATGAGCTGTGGCGCACTTTTAATTTCACAGCTAAGCAACTGCTCTCTGCGTCTCAAACGCAGTCGGTGTGTCGGCAATGCATATCACCATCTCTTGCTGTTGCACCCTATGCAACGCAGACCAGTCAATCTCAGAACGGTTGTCCAAGAGACAGTCGCAGTACTTTCGCCAGATCTGCATTTTTGTGCATTAGTGCGCCTGCAGCGCCTGAGATAGCATCGAGCAGCGTCCTTAGCGGCTGCAAGGTGGGTGCATACACAGCCTGCAAGGAGTCGAAAAATTTCTTATGTAGACGGCTTTCGGCGTAGCATTCCATCTGCTTCGCGTCCTCTGTCTACCATGCATACTTGATGTGACGGAACTCCCGTGTCAGACATCTACGCACATTGCGAAAGTTACTCCCTTCTATGAGTCGGCACTGCCCTCCACATAAGCAGCGAATGCTGCATTCTTCGTCGACACCAATGCGTCAATGATCGCCCTGTGGTCATCAGTCTAATCGTGCTGCTTACCGTTTGCGCGCCCGATCGTTTCCTCAGCTAAAACAGGCAATTGTCCCTTGACTTGGTGTCATAGGCCGTCGACTGAAGGGAGGAAATCACCATCTTTGATGTGGATAGCCATCACATTCTCTAGGTTGATCTCTTTCTTTATCATACCTAGAGAAATAACATCGTTTCGGCCGATTTACTGCAGGGGAGCAATACGCAGTCTTCCGAAAATCTGTGTCCAATATTAGTTCCTTTGGCTGTTTCTTCTCTTTGTTTTATTGCTACCCATGTGTTATGGCACTCTGCCAAATGTTTATTGGTAAGGTATTGAATAATAATATATAATACACACGGGTGTACGATGGCATAGTTGAAAAGGTGAGCGTGACAACTCCGTGGGTGCATTCAAGTAGGAGTATCACTCGCAACCAATGGGAACTATGAATTTGCGACTGTCAGACCATGTGTTGCATACAGTGAGGGTAGATCGTCACCGCCCCCTTTAGCTGAGAAAATGCGTTTCAGCCCGATTACGTCGTCCACACCGCGGCATCAGGCACAACACGCACATTGACATAAACAAGTAGGAATAACAGTCGCTCCTCAGCACAAACCGTATCACGGGGGGGGGGCAATTGAGACTAGAACTTATTCTTCGTGTCATCAGTATAACACACGATTGCACCATAATTGTTAATAAAAGTGGCAAGCTATCCTGCTCGAAGCGTAGACGAAATGTCATCATTCTTTGGCTGATGCCAGTCGGAGATTCCATCAGACAATAGTTAGACGGTCCGATAGTGCGAAGGCGAACCCATGTTCACATGATCTTCTGGTCGCGTTTTCCACCCAGTAGAAGGTGTGCTCATCACGATTCTCGTACAGCTTGTCTTGGTTAATCAGCCGAGTCTCAGTGAGTGCGGCAACATCAGTGTACATGCGACCAACTTCTATGGCGAGCAGTGCCATGAGTCGTTCGGGGTGGTCATTCGTATTCCGGTCCAGTAATGTGTGCACGTTCCGGCATCCGATGTTGTGTGCTTTCCTCGGAGGCATACGATTGCGCCAGGCATGTTGAATTGGACGCTAATCTCGCAAACCTACGAGCAAAAACCACAAACGCAGTCGAATACACCTAGTGGAAAACGACACCATATGAACAGCTGAGGCAATAGTTTCAGTAGCGGAGGCATACGAGCCATGGTCACGATGCAAAGGTTGAAGGGATCATTTTCCAATGTCACTCGCCCAAACAACTAAGAACAATAACTTATAACGCCTATATGCCTGACTACTAGATTCCCACCTAGTTACGAACCGCTCCGGTCCGCTGCACACTATTACAATGACGAGGTCACCTCGACTGGTGACGAAACGTTTGCAACAAAATTGCAAAGCTCAGGGAACAGTTCGTCTAATCCGTCAGCGTTGTTGTATCAGATACATGGGACGTGGCAAATGACGCCAATAAGTTTTGATGTCCAATCAAGTGACTAAAATCGGGATGAAAGTTTCATGGAACAAGCTATCTTCGAAATGAGTGTGCGGTTATGGATTTATCATAGGTGGAAGTGTACCTTAAATTAATCCCAGATATAATCATTCGACAAAATCAGTGCAGCGAATATTGCACATTATATTCTCATATTATTTTTATAGCGGGTGACCAGCTGTATATCCAACAGGTATTGACCTCAGTTGATGCAGTTTAAAACGGCTGTTTGAGTTTGGCAACTGTTTCACTCTGGACGGGTTACTAGCTGAGTGCACCTGGAACTAGCTGAAAATTTGTTAGGCCTCGATTGCCTCCGCCCTCGGTAACACTGGTGACTGAAACTCTTCATATCAAAGATTAATGCATCCCAAATAAATTGGCTTGGATAAATTGTACTGGAGCATACACAACACGAAAAGATAGGTACCCTAAAAATAACTACTCTACTTCTACTCAACATCTTGGAAAATACTTGGAACCGATCGAGAACACATGATTTCAGAAAGGTTTGAAAACAACCGGTTGGTATAGTTTGTGGGCAACATTTCGCTTTTGACACAAAAGCTTCCTCAGGCCGAGTGAACCAGTCGAGGATTAGTATAACACTTATGGAGAACTGGGATGAAAATCGTGACGAATGAGAGGTAAGCAGAAGGTCAATCGCGTTACAAGTCAACACATCACTCCAAATAGTGCATGGAACGGTCACAAGTGGTCCGCGTTACAAGGTCATGTACGTAAGCCCTGTTAACGAGGGGGGCGGAGATGATGTGATGTTCATTCGCTGCCCTGGATCCGTCCGCCGGCGCTCCTCACACTGGTCGGGTTAACACAGCTCGCCACACGCTCGAAAGCTCTGCTCCGTCCATTCTGTTCACTTAGTTGTTCACTTTGCTAATCTCAGATGCCTCAGCAGTCAACCTCTGGGTTGATCGCAACCCCTGTCTAAGGATTTTTACGTTAGCCAAGTCGATCTCATGCCCTGTATCTATCGCGTTCATCACTACTACCGAACTCGTTGGTAGAGCCATATATTCAAGCTCGTTTTTCGGTGACCCTGTTATTCGTCTCTTGTGTTCTGCTATCCTTGTGCGTAGCTCTGTCGCGGTTTGGCCGATGTACACGTGTGCGCAGTCTTTGCAACTAACTTGGTAGACGCAATCGGTTGTCTTATCTGCGGGAAGTGGGTCTTTCAAGTGCACTAGGGTAGAGCGGAGCGTACGGCCTTTCTGGAAAAGCACCCTTATGTCTTTTTTATTTAAGACCCGCCGGATGGCCTCCAAAGTCCCATCTTTATAACAGATATGTTTAGCCGATGCATAAATGCTGGGTTACAGAATTCTACGTTCGGTTTTCGTACGTCGGCTGTTTCAGTTAAATACATTCTGTGTGTTCATAGTCCGCTGATTAGGTAAACTCAAATTAGCGTACTTTCCTTCAAAAACCACCAACCCTTTACAAAGTGCGGAGTTACCGTCCACTTGCTAGTACTGCTGGCATGCCCAAGGAACTAAAATGCACAGCTCGCCACAAAGTGTTCAAGTGACATGACAGTCACCCCGTCTGGTAAGGAAACGTTTGCATCCTGAATGTCAAGCTCGGCGTGCCCATGAAAACTTGAACAGACAACCTATCATCAGTGTTAAGAATAATTTTGTCCGACAGTTTTACTATTACGTGTGTTCACGTTACTGTCGACTTTTGATGATTGGTGGTCAACTGCGTAGCAGAACATCGTTGATGCCCAATCGGTCGGATTTACTACTGGAAGGGGTTAAATAGTACAATTTATATGTAACCAGGGAGAATGATACTCCATATCGATTGCTAGAGGTACAATAGCTGTGCTGCAGCCACATTATGTCAAATGTTCAGCTACAGCTATTTCGGTCCTCTTAGTCACTCCAAACTCACCACTGGAAATGCAGAGCTGAATGAAGTCAAGGTGAGTTCCATCAGGCAACGTGATGGATAATTTCTGACCGCCCTCGTTTACGCCCGCTTCAGCTAACTCGCTATTCTTTTTGTCATCGGGGGCCGGACTGTGTGCGCGGTCGTGTGAAGCTGCGGCCCTACTTCGCTCTCCAGATGCATCGAGAACCTGTAAATGACAAATGTGACAACTTTACCAGGGGAGTCTACCCAGTTAACAAATGTAACTACAATCATAACCAGGTTAGTTAAGTTGGGGTCTTTCATGGTTAAACGCTGCGTTGGTCTAAACAATTTCATTCGGACCAAGGATAGACATTTCGCCTCCGTCAAATCCTACACTCACACTGACTAGAGTAAGACCAACGCATTTTCAATTCCGACAGCAGCTCAGTTGATAACACGAATGAAAGCAAATATAGGAATATAAGAAGTACACAGGATTCTTACCTGACGTTGGGACTTGGGCGATTGCGTTGTCTCCGCTAGTGCTAGACAAAGGCCATCAGTAAACACCCCAGTGAAAGATGAAAAGTGCTCCCTTTCTGGTTCAGCTACAGGAGGACTGGAAACCACATGCAACTTGCTTTGTTTCATTCCATTTTGGACAGGTTGACTTGCATCGTCCTTATCGATTACGCCGTCAAATTCAATGAAACAATTTTCCTAAAGGAAAAGAGTGCGACTCGGGTATGAGAATTAGCAAATCACAACCATTGTTACTGTATGAGAAGTTTAACTTACGTTGCACTTCTTTTCATCGATTTCGTACTCGGGATCTGGAGGTGGACCGGTTCGGTGCACCGTGAAAACGTGGCCATCTTTAAGTACACTAATTGTAACCACAGAAGCATCTGCAAAAACAAACGTGATGTGACACCGTCAAGATATGTGGCAGACGTTTCCCTATAAAATAGATTTGGTTTGACAGCCACAGGCGAAGGTGGAAACTTTGTTGACAGAAAAATTATCAAGTTTGGAGTAAATTGCAACGTTCGTATGTATGGTACGGTTAAATGAGACAAATAACCTGCCCAAGTTTAAGCTTGCTCAAAAGGTTATTGAGAGGAAATACCGTTTCGCTCTTTGTGTAGTAAATAAAAGCTCCTGTTGCATTCAATATCTCGACACGGGATTTCACTGATATGTCATCGTGAAATGTTTCCTAGCCGACTGACTATGTATGCATACTTGGCTCACATACCGACGATCCCCATTATGAGGACAAACTTCTACCTTCCTTTCGTAGAGGTTTTCCGTCCACCAAGCATATATATATATATATATATGTATGTGTGGCGGGAGAGCCCATGGTGGACGGGGTCCTTCAAGCAAACCTCCAAACAACCCACTGCTTTGTGGATCAAGCTATTGAGCCAAAAGCTCCTAGCAAAGTCCGTCAAGGAAACCTCCGACGCACAACCGCCACCACACGTGCGATTGCCCACCAATGCAATTGTATGCCTGCGCGCAAAACACTCAACATCGGGAGCTGGAACGTGCGCCCACAACTGGACAGGAACAAGAGTGAGTGCCCTGAGCGATGCACTGCACTGGTCGCAATGGAACTGACCCGCTACAACATCGATGTCGCGGCGCTCAGTGAGACTCGGCTAGCTGAGCAAGGTAAGTTGTACGAAGCTGATGCTGCCTACACATTCTACTGGGTGGGCAACGCCACTTCAGTATCACGTGAACATGGGGTCCGATTTGCAATATCCGGTCGCCTCCATGGCCAGCTGGTGCGTGAATCAAAAGGCATCAGCGCGCGACTGATGACTGTTCGCCTACGCCTCGGAAAACGTAAGTTTGTCACTTTATAAGTACCTACAGTCCGACCATGTGTTATCCTGATGACACGCGTGATCAGTTCTACACTGAGCTATCCTTCGTGACACGGTCTGTGTCGAGGAGCGACCGACTATTTCTGCTGGGTGATTTCAACGCACGCCTTAGGCGTGGTGCATCGGTGTGGACAGATGTTATCGGTCCGCATGGCATTGGTTCAGCGAATGTGAACGGCGGCAAGCTGCTCTCACTGTGTGCCACTCACGGCCTGACGATCATGAACACTCAGTTTGCACTGAGTGCGAGTGATATGGCAACTTGGACGCATCCACGGAGTGGTCACGCTCACCTGCTAGACTATGTCATCGTACGTCAGCGTGATACGCGTGATGTTCGCATGACATGTGTACTGCGTGGAGCTGAGTCTGGCACCGATCACAAATTGGTGCGGACCAAACTGTAGGTATATTTTAGTAAATCTGTGTATTGCACTCCCGCCGTGAATCGGCGTAAATTTAACATTCTCTCTCTCGGTACTGTGGTGAAACGTATTGAGCTGGCGAAGGTGATGGCTGCACGCCTGTGTAATGTGCATTGCATAGCCACAGTGGGCGATCTGCGGCACCACATTCGCGACCAGGTGACAGCTGCTGCCGAGGAGACCACACACTGTAAGCAGCCTGATTGATCTGATGTGAACAATGCGACCCTTGGCGCATTGGTGTCGGAGAAGAATGCAGCATTTGATGCACATGTGGCGGACCCCAGTGACCTGGGGAAGAAGAGAAACTTTGGGTGAATTCGACGACGACTGACCCGAGAGCCCCGTCGGATTAAAAATGCATGGTGGATGGAGAAGGCGAATAGATGGAATGTTACGCCGAACGCTGCCAACACAAGGAATTCTTTGAATCCCTGAAGGGGGAGTATGGACCGAGATTGGGGCCGCTGAGGACGCTGATCGATGGTAGTTCAGGCGCTTCCTGCACACAGACTGCAGACATAATTCAGATCTGGCGAAAGCACTTTGATCGTCTCTTGAATAACCGTTCAGAGATCGACTGGCCTACATTGAACGGCCTGAAGCAGCACGATGTGAAGGCGGATCTGGCGGATACGCCGAGACTGGATGAGACGCAGAGAGCACTTGCTCAGCTGCGAAACGGCAAGTGTGCCGGTGCCGACGGGATCCCGCCTGAGGTATTGAACCGGGGTGGATCCGCGTTGGTGACTGCGCTGCACCACTTGGTGCAACACATGGATTGAGGAGGAGGTGCCTCCTGATTTGTAGGATGCCCTTGTGCTACCGCTGTACAAGGGCAGATAGAGCATGCGATATTGTACGAATTATGGTGGCATCAACTTGCTGAGTTGTGTGGGCAAGGTGATTGCCCGGCTCCTGCTCAGCCGCCTCGTCAGTCAGATTGTGGAACCTAACGTGGCGGAAGAGCAGTGTGGATTCCTTTCGGGTCGCAACACTATATATATGGGGTTTGCTGCCCTTCAGTTGCAGGAGAAGTGCAGCGAACGACACCAGCCATCGTACTCGCTTTTCGTTTATTTCACCAAGGCATTTGATACGTTGAACCGCGATGCATTGTGGCTGGTGTTGGGTAAGTTTGGTTGTCCGCGTAAGTTTGTAGTGTTAATAGTTTAACAGTGTATTTTTGGATAAAAACATAACTTTACAAGATACACAGGATGGATATGCAAAAGAAAATTGAGATTAAAATGTTCCAGTGTGGAACGTGACTTATCAGTGTTTAAACAATTACACTACATCGAAATGTTGTGTTGCGTTTATCACTAAGATTAAAGTCTAAATCTTTTGAACGTCTTCATGTTTGGTGCGTTCACCACATATGTCGGTAACGCATTCCAGTGCGAACAGAATCTTATTGAATAAAAATAGTTTCTACCATTCAGACGGTTGGTGCGTCATTACTTTCAGGCGATTGCCTCGGTTTGTTTTAAGAGGCTAGGGTCAAAAGTGATGTACATGGATGCTCGCTTTCAGTTAGTATCCGGTATGTGCGAGATCTCCGCGAAGCCGTCGGTAATTTGAAGAGAACACACCAAGTACACGAAGACGCAGTTCGTAACTTATACCAGATAGTCCAAGCGTTGTCTTTGTAGCTCTTCTTTGGGGCTGTTCCAAGAGGCGGATGTCTCGTTTTAACCATGGACACCAGGTCTGAATTGCATATTCAACATGAGGACGAATGTAGGAGTTAATCAGCATTGGTAATAGCCGTCGCTCAAAAGTACCGAGAGCTCGCACCAAAAGTCTTAAGTTCAAGTTCGCCAAGTTGCTGCTTTCGAACATTGGAGCGGATTTCCAAGACCCGCTTGCACGATTATACCTAAGTCACTTTCACTAGTCACGTGTTTCATGACGTGTTGCCCCAAAAGGTATGTATTGACGAAGCTGCTGCACACCGTCAGCAGGTGGCACTTTGCAGGGTTCAGTGGGAGTTGGTTCTTTATTGCCCATTCGTTAATCCAAATCAGATCTTCCTGGAGGTAGACACGGTCGGATACTGAGCGAATTACTCTCCATATTTTAGCATCGTCTGCAAATATTTGTATCGGAGATAGGATGTCTGCTGGAAGGTCATTAATGTAGACTAAAAACAGTAGCGGGCCGAGGGCGGATCTTTGTGGTACACCACTGGAGACGTAAAGGCTTTCAGAATAGGTGTCGGCTACTCTTACATTGATTGCTCTGTCGTGTACGTAGTCTTACAACCAGGTGAGCAGGGAACCGTTGATACCGTAGGCAGCAAGCTTTTGGAGGAGAAAAAAGTGATTGACCCTGTCGAATGCTTTAGAAAAATCCAGGTATATCACATCTATGGGCACTCCTTCATCAGCCGCCCTGGTCCATAAGTCCCGAGTAATCAGCAAATTGGTGAGACAAGATCGTCTGCGTCTGATACCATCTTGGGCATTGGAAATCATTTGTTGAGTTTCAAAGTATCGCGTCAGTCCATCTGCGAGTACCGATTCCATCACTTTTGATAAAACAGGAAGGAGAGCAATAGGTCGGTAGGTAGCAGGATCCGATCGCTTGCCTCCTTTATATATTGGAGTGATAATTCCATTTTTCCAATCAGATGGGAGTGTATGGGAGTTAGGCATACCCTGGAAAAAGGTTGCAAGTAGTGCTGTAATGGTGGGAGAAAGGGTTTTCAGTACTTTTGAGCAGATCATGTCGATTCCAGGAGCATTGTACTCCCGGAGAGTCTGTCATTGTTTTGCAACTGCTGCTGGGATAAAGGTGACGCTGGATAAGTCAACGACATTTGTTGGGAGTTGATAGGGCGAAGGTTCCATGGTGTTTGTAGCTATCGGGCCAAAGTGCAGGAGTAGAGCGGTCACGGCATCCACAGCAATAGTTGTTAGGCTACTGGCCGTCTTGGGTGGTGGTATTTCGGGCTTAAACTTTCTTTTGCCATTCACAAATCTGTATAGTATGTTGGTGTTACTCGTAAGTTTCAACACCGTGGTCTCCTGCTAATCGTACTTATCGACACTGATGAGTGAGGTTCAGTAGATTCTGATTGCTTTGTAATTCTACCATGTGATATCACATGGGATTAGCGAATGTTGCCTCCAGATTTCATCTCTTTTGTTGATCCACTTACGTGTTCTGCTTCGGAGCCAAATATTGGTCCGGCGCGATGTTCGTAATGGTACAACCTTCGATGCTGATTGTATGACCCAGTTAATTTCATCTTTCAGTTTATTCCACGCGTCATTCGCCGAACTGTGCGTCTGTAGGTCCCAGTCAACGGTTGCTGCTAAGTTGTGCAGCTTAAAATATTCCGTAATTGTTCGTTGAGTCGCTCTTTATCAACAATACTCACATAACATACATAACGAAATGTTGGGAGTGAATGGTCGCTATGGCCCAGTGAAGGATCGTGGGTACTGACTCAACCATCAACTCTTCATTAGTCAGGATTAAGTCTAGGAGGGATGGCTTGTTTGAACCGCGGTGTCTGGTTGGTCGATGCACATTGTTATACAAAAGTGCCATATCCATGAATGCGAGAAGTTTCGA